CTTCATGGAGTCTGTAAGTGAAGATTTAAGAGCTCAGAGGAATGATTCTTGAAGTGAAAAGTGATTTAAGTTATCTAGAGCAGGAAAATTTCTGCCACCTCCTCTCCTGTGGTGATATGGAAAATAAAAATTATACTGATTTGAATAGGTGGATTCAGCTTGGAATTCAGGTAGAATCTTGAAACTGCCAGCTTTTAACAGTGTTTACTCATGTTTCCTAAGCATGGTTCAGATGCTTGTAAAAGGATACAGTATGGATAAAGAAAGATGAGTTAAAAGGGTAACTAACTGTCAAGCAGAATTAAGGGAAAATATAAAAGAACAAATTAATGCTTCCAGAAATAAAAATTTGTTTTCATGCCCAAGCTTTCCAAAGAGAAAACTTTAGAAGTAAAATTAACCTCAGAATAAATGTTATCCTAAAGCTGTATATGTGAAGACTTAGAAAAGTGTTAAGTGTGTCTGATAAACCCTCTTAATGAGATAAAAAATATTTGAAAAGTGGGCTCTCCCTGGTGGTGCAATGGGTTAAAGCACCACATTATGAAGCTCTCAGAAACCACTGCAGCACGAATTCGATGACCCACATGGCATGGCAGACCTCTTCTGACCCACCTGCTGCTCCCCTCAGCAGTGTACTTTGCTAATCTGCCTGTCCTGCTCCCCACTCTGTCTCTGGTGAATCCTTTCACCCACCATACCTCTGGTCTATACATCAGTTCTGTAAACATAAATAAATAAATCTTTTTAAAAATGCATTTGAGAAGCATAAGCATAAGCATATTATGCCATTCACATAGACTTTCATCTCAAGACCACGAAGGACCAGTCTCAAAGATATTTGTGGGTGTGGCCATGTTGATGGAGTGAACTCTAATTTAAAAAAAAAAAACATAGAAACTCTTTAAAAACTTTGAGAATTACACTAACAGGAACATCATAGGTCTTGCCATAACAACACCGTCTATTCTAGTTATCTTTTTCTTCCTCCCAAGAAAAGCACACATGAGGAAAAAATGGTGTGTTTCAAATTCATTGTGATTTCTGTTTATTTAAATCATAAAATCTAATTTTATTTTAAGTTTTGCCAACATTGTTGATACACAGCTGATATATAACATTTTGTAACTTTAAGTTATAAAGCATAATGATTAATATAGAAATATATTGTGAAATAACTACTATAACTTAACACATTCATCAGCTTGTGTGTATGGTGAGAGCATGTAAGATTTCTCCTTTCTATAACTTTCAAGCATATAATACAATATTATTTATTATTGCCACCATACTGGACATTAGATCCCCAGAACTTCATTTTATCACTGGAAGTTTATACCCTTTCACCAACACTTCACTATATCCCTATTCCTGACTCTGGCAACCACACTCTCCTCCTATGATTTTATTAAAATTCTACAGATAGGGCCCTGCGTGGTGGCGCAGCAGGTTAATGCACTGCAAAAGAAGCCTAAGCCACTTCCGCTCAAGTTTGATCCCTGCCTGCCCAGGAGGAGATCCACATGGCGAGGTGGACCTCTCCTGACCCGCCCGCTGCTCCCCTCAGCAGTGTACTTCGTTGATCTGCCTGTTCTGCTCCCCACTCTATCCCTGGTGAATTCTCTTACCCTCTGCATCTCTGGCCTGTACCCCAGTTCTGTATGAATAAATAACTAAATCTTAAAAAAAAAAATTCTACATATAATTGAGATCATACAACATCGTTCTCTCTTTGACTTATTTAACATATTGTTCCATGTGGCATGCTTTCCTTCTTTTAATGGCTGGATAATATTCCTTTGTGTATGTGGGGTGGGAGGAGTGTTTATACCAATTTTCTGTATTCAATCACCCTCCCATGAATGCTTATGTTGTACACATCCTGTCTATTGTGAGTATGCCACAATGAACATGGGGATGTAGATACCAGTTTAAGATGCTTATTTGACATCCTTATAAAAGGATAATTGCTTGTATATATAGTGGTTCTTTTTTGAATATTTTGAGGAAACTCCATCCTGTTTCTCAGAATGATTGAACAAATTTGCATTCCTATCAGTAGTGTATTAGGGTTCCCTTTTCTCTCCTTCACCAGAACTTTGTAGACTCTATATATTTGTTAATAATGATTCCATTGTTGTGAGGTGATAGTTTACTGTGGTTTTGTTCTGTCTTCCTTAGAAAAATTTCTTTCTTTGGTCCACTTTTTAGTGGGTATTTTTGGCTATTGAGTTGTGGAAGTTCCTCAATATTTTAGGCATTAACTCTTAATAAGACACAGGATTTGCAATTTTTTCCCCATATCATAGACTGCTTTTTTGTTAATTGTTTCTGTTGATATGTAGAAGCAGTCTGATTCAAAACTTGGGATCCTGGCTTAACTCACCCCATATGGGATGAGACCTTAGTTGGGATACATAAACTGTCATGTTACAAGTCCAACAACCTCACTGGAGAGACCCACTCTATGTAGCTCTGGTCCTACACAAAGAAGAGGAAGAACTCCAAAGAGCCCATTTTCAAGGCATCATTATATGACTAAAGTCAACTTTGTATCCTCCCTAAAATCCCCACAATCAGCTGAATACCAGACATTAACCTCAATCCATGCCACATTGAAAAGAAATGTTATGATCAAGTTCTACCTAAAGTTATATGCAGTTAGATACAGAACAGTGTATGGTAACATACAATCCTGTATGTAGATAGACATAGGTATATGTGTGAGAGCATATAAAAGATATGTACATACACATATATACATATACATCAATATATATTACATTCACATCAATAATGCATTCCTATAGAGTTACATACTGTTTTAGAATTAGATAGTTTCGCGCCACCCATGTACCATGTGTGTTCTCATCTATAGAGACACAAGGGACACATATCATTGTATACACACCTAAATGTGGTTGTAGAGACCCACATGTGGTAGGAGATAGACCTGTGTGTAATGAATACATACCTTATATTGTCAGATATAGGCCTATGAATGATGGACATAGACATACGCCTTTGTCTTTGGGGGTTGTGCTGTAACTCATGGCAACAAAATGCACTGAGCCTTTGTTTCATCAGTTCATTGAAAATGTGAATCAAATATAAATAAGATAAAGCCTTTTTTAAGAGAAAACCAAAAAGGCAAAATTTATTTAGTCTTTGGAGATAGTTAAATTTTCTTAAGACTTCACAAAATTTATGTCTTTTATGGCAGAGGATAAAAGATATTAAAATAGGCTCAAAATAAATATAAGGAACCATGAAATTACAAATATATTTTACAGGAAGTTTATAAACTTTCCAAAATAACCTTGTTTGTCAGGAATAATAAATACTTAGAAATATCAAGAAACTTAAAATATGTAATTAATTAGAGGACATTAATTCTTATGACTTATTACAAACATTTGAAATCCTTAACCAAAAATATTTTTTAAATTTAAAATTTTAAAACCACTGATATAGTATGTTACTGGTAGGGGAACACATCAGAAAAGGAGAAGGAAAAAGAGAAGAGGGGCGAGAAAGAAGATAGGAACATGGCAGAAAGGTTAAGTAGATTCCCTGGGGCTTATTTTGTAAGGACACAAATCCCAATTATGACCTAATCACTTCCCCAGACTTTCATCTGCAAAATCACTACATTACAAAGGATGTAACTTATCAATGGGTGGAGGGGACAAATATTCAGTAAAAATAAAGGACTAAATTACATACACCGATAAAATGTTTTGATATTTATTGAACAGTATTGTTTGGAAAGGCTTTAAGATGATTTAAGGAATCAATTAATAATAGGGGTAAAAATCACAATATAAAGTCTTATAGTGATTTTCTATGGCAAAGGCCAGTTCTCCCTAACTTAATCTTCGGGAATTCATTAAATAAGAGTGCCAGTGTTCTGAGCTGCTTGATCACAAGCTTCCTATCATATTGAGAGAGATATTTTGTCTTGAGTCTGATTCAGTTAGGAAAAGAAAGGATACTGTGAATAATATCTAATAAAAAAAGATATATTCTAACTTCTTTTGTCTCATTCCATTAATGAGAGGTTAGAACGTCATCCACTGCCCACATTTTTGATAATGCTGTCATCCAAAATATTGGTGTCAAATTCTAATTTACATACTTGAGGGGCATCGCTTATGGATTATACCAAACTTATGAATGAAAGACAGAATCTGAACTTTTATAGAAGTCGATGAATCACTAAAAAAAAATGTGGATATTGAAAAAAATAGCTGAGGTAGAATCAGGTATTCTAAACTATTGATATATGTGAGGATTAATGGATCATCTTAATGAAAATATAATACCAGACAAAGCTACTCCACTTGAGGAGATAATAGGATTTCCCAATAGGGAAAATAAGTAAAATTTAATTATTTTTCTGTATATTTACTTGTTCATTCACATCCTTATTGTGTATTTAGCCTTCTGACAGCTATAACTATGATTAGGACTCTAAAGCAGCATTCCTCTCCAACTTAATGTACTAAACAATGAAAGCTAAAGTTATATTTAAAATATCTTGAAAATAAAAAAGTGAGGTCTATACCCAAATATTAATATGGGATTACTTTTGTGGGGAGGGAAAAAAGATGCCTTATTTTATTTTTTTGATAAGAAATATTAAGATTATTATATTAGAAAGAATATGAGAAAATCTTCCACTACCTAAAATAAAATTACAATTTGAACTACAGCATAGCTTATTACATAGAACATAAGTACATAGTCTCAAAGAGGCAATTCATATCCAAATACTGAATATATTCCCAACTGTTACGAACTCTTACAAAGATATTTTAAATACCTTTAAGAAATTATGAAAATTTTCACAATAAATTTGAAAATATTCACATAATGAGTATCTTTCATATGTTCAAATTATTTAACCTTAGGAGAAATTTGCTGGATTAAATATTTACATAAGACTTTCTGAAAGGAACAGCTCTTCTTTGAAAACAGGTGATACATTGCTCAGCAATTCATTTTCTTTTTTTGGTCCAGACCTTTTTCATAGCATTTTTCATCTCTCCATTTCTCAGAGTATAGATGAGGGGGTTTAACATAGGAGTGACAACGGTATAAAACACAGTCAAGGATTTATCAATGGGTAGGGTACAAGGAGGTCTAACATACATAAAAATACAGGGTACAAAGAAGAGTACCACTACAGTAATGTGGGAGCCACAGGTAGATAAGGCTTTACGTCTCCCTTCCTGACTAAGATTCTTCAGGGAGTGAAGAATAATCCCATAGGAGATGAGTAAGACCATAAAGATGACCACACAAATTGCCCCATCATTGGCAACAACAGTGAGGCCAATAACATAGGTATCCCTGCAGGCAAGTTTTAGTAAGGGGTACATGTCACAGATGAAGTGGTCAATGACATTGGGACCACAGAAGGGAAGATTGTAAACAAAGAGAAGTTGAACTACAGCATGCAGAAAACCCCCAACCCAGGCCAACAGCAGCAGCAGAACACACACCCGTTTATTCATGATGGTCAAGTAATGCAAGGGTTTGCAGATGGCCACATAGCGGTCATAGGCCATGACCACCAACAGTAAAATCTCAGCACCACCAAATAAGTGCCCTATAAAAAGCTGGGTCATGCATGCTTGGAAGGAAATGGTTTTCTTCTCAATGAGTAAGTCTATGATCAAATTTGGGGTGACTGTAGTGGAATACACAGCATCCATAAAGGATAAGTAGCCAAGAAAGAAGTACATAGGAACATCCAGGGTTGGGCTGGCCACCACAGTCACGACAATGAGTAGGTTGCCTGCCATTGTCAAAATGTAGATGAGCAAGAACACAACAAATAATACTCTCTGACCCTGGAGGCTCTGAGTAAGTCCCAAGAGAATAAACTCAGTCACATTGTTTCTTTGTTCCATTGGTTCTTCCATATATATTTTATTTCAGATCCAAGACAAAATTACCTGGAAATAGAATGATTACTAGAGACTTCTGAGATTTCAAATTAATGTTTGTTGATTCCACAAAGAGGCATTAGGACTGGCTATATTTCTGTATATATAGAAGAATACAGACCTATTTAAAAACAGAAACAAAAACATGGTCCCTAATCTCAGTAATCTTCCAATTAATTGAAGAGACAAATGATTACAAGCATCTATAGAAAATGACACATTATTAAGTAAATGAGTTAACACACTAACTCTCCTTCTGGAAGCTAACTGTATTAATACTTACTCCTAATACCATATATGTAATAAATAAAAATTATCAAAAGTTTTTAAAATTTTAAGCAAAACTTACTTTATTTTTACTTTACAGTTAATAAATAAGACGACTTTCTAAACTCTAAGGGTACAAGAATCTTCATATGTAATCACTGAAATATTACATAACTCTATTTGACAATTTCAGTATTTTTAAGGATTTGGGAAAGATAACAAAGTTCAACAGACAAAAGTAGTTTGATGAAAATAATGATATTTTAGAAATTCACCTTTAGTATCTAAAACAGATATATAATTCAAGAAATTAACAAATAAAAGACAAACCAATAGGAAAGTGGGAAAATCACAGCAATTTTTGAAACATTATATTCAAGTGCCAATAAACATGATAAGATGCTAAAATTCATCTCTAGACAGAAAAATAAAAATTGAAGTCACAACTTATTAAATAAACATTATCTTGTGTCCTCAAAATTCATTCAAGTAAATCTCCACATGCAACAACACTCTGTTTTAACATTTACAAACAATGTTATCATTGAATACATGAGATTTAAAAATTCAAATACCCCCAAATATTTAAACTTAATTCTAAAATTAAACTCATGTTACATACAGGAAGTAAACTTATTCTAGATCTTAATAGTGTGAAAATGCCCTAACGAACCTTGTACAGTTGAGTAGACCCTAATATATTTAGGGCATCACAATGAATTCCTAACAGAATTTATAACCAGAATCAGAGAAGACAACTTTTAAAGATTGTGAAGTCCTACATCATGAAGTTTTCTTGTAAAATGTGAAACATAGACCCTTATACATTAATATACTTCCTGTGTTACCTGCGTAAGGAGACAGCCATTCACTCCACGTCTTGGACTGTGGTAATTCTTCCCCCTTGTTCTTCATACACTGATGGAAACACATAGAGCAAGATAACACAGGCACCATCACTGGGGCTTGACCTGTCTCCAGGTGACCAAAACTTCCCTGTTGATAGAAAGTCTAGTTCATTTTAGCCTCGGAGGAAAAACTTACCTTTTAAATGATTGGGATTTTCAAAATGAATATGAATATCCTACCACCTGATGGAGTCTGAATAAAGAGGCACAAAATCTTCATTTTCAGCAAATTATATACCAATAAAAACATATTTAAATCAGTATTTTGTGGTTAGAAATAAGTCAACTTTGTGGGAGAGAAAATTGTGATGTATGTACATAAATCTTTTCCAGTTCATATTCTTTCCTCACAAGAGGTAGCCAAACTTTGGGATGCCTAAAGAAGAGATTGTAAGTTGATGTAGCATAAATACTTTGTTATGATCTGAGTACATCATTCAAATGCTGACCAAGCCAGTCATGAGAAAACTGATACAAATTCTGTCTGAGAAAAGGGCTATGGTCTGTAAATATTCTGTCTGCATTTGAACTACAATACATATTGTGGAGTCAATCCACTCACTCATCTCCAAGGAAAATTCTTCCCTAATTAAATATACAGGGACCTAATCATAATTCTGAGGGTAGAGTCTATATCTCCAGAGATGCCACCAGGAAAATTATCATAGGACTGAGACCATGGTCTTTTAAGGGTGGGTAGGTGGAGGAAGAGTGAGAGTAATCACAAAAGAAAAACTTGAGATCAAACCACCAAAAGGAGAAGTCCAGAGGATAGAAATGAAATATCTGAAAACATTGTTTTTAAAGCATAACTTTCAAAGTAGGCAATCTATTTCAAGCATCATTATAGATGACATCTGAATTCACTTCCAGAAGATGATGAAAGTTAATGTCAGAACAACTCATTTAAAACTTGATTCAAATACAGGTAAAACAATTCTCCCCTAAACATAACAACTGTGAATAAATAAGTCACAGAGTTTCAAATAGGTATGTGGAGAGTGTGTCATTTGGTATAATCAGGAGAAAAAGAAAAGTCCTTTTTTTTCTGGGACTATTCTGTTTATCTCCAAGAGCTCCTGGAACAATACGCAACATACTATTTCAGAAATTAAATTTCAATTCATTTCAAAGAACATAAATCATAAAAAGAGTTATCTGATATGACAGTTGCATTCAACTAGCAATTAGTAACTAAATTTCCTTATTCACAATTTAAGGTACAGAAATCTAAACTACCTATAAATAAGCAGAAGAAATATCAACAACAATGTTAAAAATAGGTATTCAACAGAAAGACAACTACTGCAGAAATTGGAGAGAAATGCATAGTTTTAGTTGCAACTATAGAAAACAAGAAATATTAAAAGAAAACAACTAGGTTTTTATGGAAAGAAACTAGAAAGGAAAACTAAAAGTCAGGATTTGTTCTTACAGGTTCACATTGTCCACTGTCAATTTTAAGAATTCTTCTTTCAGAAGCCTCTAGAAAATATAGACTTGTGTGTAGCTTAATAGAAAACAGTAATTCTAGGACTCACATTATATTAAAATGTGATTTCCAGTACATGAAGGACAGAAATTGACCTATGAATAAATAATAAAACCTTAGACACTGGGAATTCGATTGGTTATAGGACAGTATTTAATTCATTCTTTTTATTTTGCATGTATAGTAATTAGCATGCAGGAAAACAAAGAAACATGCACAGAAATGTATGGTCACATTATCTTTTCCCTACCTGGAATAGTTGATATACTCACATGTGACAAATTCAAAAAAAAAAAGGCTTTGTTTTCTTTGCGTAATTAATCTGTATAATTACTTCAACTAACTCCATTCTTCCCTGTAAGACTTGCCTTGGGAAATGAAGGTGTTGAATGATCATAACAAAATATCTCCTATAGTTTTTTTCTGGTCTAATAGCAAATCACAAAACATTAATAATGATAACAAGAATGGCAAGTTTTCATTTCTACACAGATTTAACTTGTCTCTCATCTTATCCTCAAAACAAATAAGCAAGTTCAATGAGAATGCAATAAAACTCAGAACCAGCCTCTCTGCCCAATCTCCTTCATGACTGTGGTGCTATATTTAGTTTACAACTGGCCTTTATGGCAGTGATCAAGAACTGAATTTGGAAGCTGATATCTCTTGCAGAACACATGTAGGCTAGCTATATATACTGTATTGGGCTCAATGTCACTATTCTTTCATTTCCAGTCAGTTTTTCTGACCAGTCAACCACTGTGGCATTCGCCACCCATAAATGAGTATTAGTTTAGAATCTATTCAGAAGAATTGAGTATTTCTCTTTCCTAGAGAATATTACCCTTCAAGTCTTCTCAGATCTCTTGGGGAAAAAAAAAGCCAAGATGAAAATTTACACCATCCATTTGTGGTGACATTGTGAATTAAATATTCCTGTATACCTGCTGATTCCATAATGCAAAAAAACTCTGGATTTGGAAACTATTCCCAGCTGGTGACTGGATAAGGAGTCATGGTTTTCCTCAATTTGGTTAATGCCTAATTCTGATCATTCAATTCAGGCCTCTGGGCTCACTAAACCTTCGTTATAACTAACCCCTTATCATCATCAACAGCAGCAGCAACAGCAGCAGCAGCATCACATTAGTCTGCTTGGGCTGCCAGAATAATAAACACAGGCTGGATTACCTGGGCTGACATCCATTTTGCTATGGTTCTGGAGCATGGAAGCCAACACTAAGGTGACCACAGGGTTGGTTTCTAGTGAGACCATTCCTCCAGGCAAGCCCTGCAATCCAGAAAAGACTTGAAAATGTGACTTTATATTATAGTGTTCACATCCAAAAATGTTATAGAGAACAGGAAAGACACCTTCAATTTATCACTAAATAAAGAGCAAAGATTTACAGGAAATCAGAAAGATTTGTGAGATAAAAGTAAAACAATCACGTGTGGAATATAAAGAACAAAACAAAGGGACAGACAAAGTAAACCGAAACACCCTAGAAACCTGCAGAACTGATAATCTCAGGGGAGAAGAGTAGGAGATGAGAAGCAAAAGAAGGGCCTCATGGTGGGGAGGGCTATGGTGGAGGGTTCTGGGTACCTCGGTGGTGTCTTAGAAGGAACCTACATGTGCAGAGATCTGAACCCAGGCATGTGAATCACATACTGTTGTCAAGTTATGTCCAAAAATGTCAATAAAATGAAAAATTATTTCAAGATAAAATAATAATACAATTTAAAGGCCATTCTAGATGTTTAATATTCATTCTGTTTTTTAAAAATTTAATGTAAAGTTGGCAGAGTCTGGGGCTTTACTAAAAATTAATGACTTAAACATCTATTTCAACGATTGGATCAGCCCAAATGATGTAGAAGTACAAATGTGGTTTAAACAACTTAATGTTCTGATCCAAAACTTGATTAAAATATACAAGATTATCCACATGCTACCATCACAGTATAAAGCGAACAAAATTCATGTCTCTGGTTTAGCTTCAGCTGTGAAAATATGCTAAGTAATAAAATAAATTTGACAAAGATATTTATTATTACTATTACAGTTACATATTTAAAACAGTAAGAATTTATTTTATTTGAATGCCTTGAACTAAATATGAGCAAGCTCCATAAAGTCACATTGTTATGCAAAAGGTACTATATTCCACAAATAAGAACATGATGAATTGATAATAATTATATTCATTGATAATCTTAACATGGTATGGTTACATATGTAAGGGATTAAAGCCATAAATTGTCTTGGTGTCCAAGGGATATTCCACATAGATAAACATTAATCTATAATATATACTTTTATCATCATTAGGTCAATGATATACAGAAGCTAATTTTTTAAATGTGGTCACTGATTGTGAAAGGATTATTTAATTCTATGAGAGAAGGAAGATCATGATCTTCAGGAAAACTACAGCCCTCTCCCAGCTAAGGTCACATTTTACTCCAGAGTTTCCTCATGGCATTTTTCATTTCTGCATTTCTCAAAGTATAGATTAAGGGGTTCAACATGGGAGTCATGAAAGTGAAAAACACAGTAATAAATTTATCAACAGGAAAGGTGGTATTGGGCCTTGCATACAGGAAGATACAGGGCACAAAGAATAAAAAAACCACAGTGATATGGGAAACACAAGTGTAGAGGGCTTTGCGTTTCCCTTCCAATCCATGAGGCTTCAGAGAACGTAATATGACTCCATAGGAGACCAGGAGAATGAAAAAGATGACAGTGCAAATTACTCCTCCATTAGCAATCAGTGAGATCCCAACTAGGTAGGTATTAGTGCAAGCAAGTTTCAATAAGGGGTACACATCACACACAAAGCTGTCGATGACATTGGGGCCACAGTAAGGGAGCTGATAGATGAAGACAAACTGGAACAGTGAGTGCAGGAAGCCTCCAGTCCAGGCCACCAGCAGCATGAGAACACAGACCCGCCGATTCATGATGACCAAGTAATGAAGAGGTTTACAGATGGCTACGTATCGGTCATAGGCCATCACCACCAGAAGGATGACTTCAGCACCAGCAAATAAGTGATCTATAAAGACCTGACTCATACAAGCCTTGAAGGAAATGGTCTTTTTCTCATAGAGCAAGTCTGTGATCATTTTGGGAGCAAAGGCAGTAGAGTAGACAGTATCTATAAAGGACAAATAAGCCAGAAAAAAGTACATGGGGGTTCCCAGTGACGGGCTGCCCATGATGGTCACCACGATAAGCATGTTGCCCACCACTGTCACAATGTAGATGAGCAAAAATGTGACAAAGAGGACTTTTTGCCACTCAGGGTTCTGGGTGAGTCCCAGGAGGACAAACTCAGTCACAGTGTTTCTGTTCCCCAAGTGTTCTGAAGATGTGGAATTCAGATGCCAGAGACTAGAAACAAAAGACCAGTAATTAATTTGAGGAGATAGCAACTGAAGACCATAATGTCCAAAGTGAGATGTTTTACTCATTTACATTTTCCTCCCACATTGCCTCAATTTTTTTCACAAATATTTTGCTCAATAATGACACAACTTCTGTGTAAATTTCCATATTCTACTCAGAAGGTCTGTGAGGGTAGATGTGTCTGTGAGATGATTGATATACCAGTGTTTTCTCCATAATGCCTCTCACAAATATTGTACTCTTTGTCATTGCCTGGTCTTTTTTTAATGAATGCTTTGTAGGTCCCTGAGATTTACTATGATAGTAATTTTATCTTTAATAACTTCATATATTTATGTAAAGTAGTGCCTAGTGCTTGGAGTATAAAATTATAAGCTATGCCTTCCAAATTACTTTGCCACAAGCATCTAGAGTCAGGAATAAATCACCAATAATGACGGAAGAACCAGGTTTATCATGAGTATGCATCTGTTCATTATATGCTTATTAAACTTCATATAAAAACTCATAAGAGAGCAACTGGTCAGATAAATGTATAAAATTCTTCCAAGAAAGAAGGCTCAAGGAAAGATTATTTTTGAAAATACACACAACAGAAACATAATCACAAATTTGATTTACATTTATTACAACCTAGGCTAGGCAATTAGAAGAAGAAATAGACCATCTAAATCTATTGAATGAGTCTATAAAGACATTACTCTACTCTGGAACACAGTTTGGAATTGATTTTGCTCACAATAACTCAATTCTGAATGCCAAAATAAAGGTTCTAGATAGGATAAAACATGTTGCCAAATTTCTACCTGTGTTTTTCTGAATTACTGATATTTCCACCTTTTTAACTAAACCTTATCATAGTGGTTTTGCTGGTAGAACATTTTTACAGTAATCAAGCTGTTAGCCTGTTAAAGATTATTTGATTGCTGAAGTTCATATTTTTCTAAAGATTTATTTATTTGTGCATATAGGAACTGGGGTACAGGCCAGAGATGAGATGTGAGGGGGTGAGAGGATTCACCAGAGACAGAGTGGGGAGTAGAACAGGCAGAGCTACAGAAATATACTGCTGAGGGGAGCAGCAGGTGGATCAGGAGAGGTCTGCTGCGCCCTGTGGATTAGCTCCCTGGCCGGGCATCAGATGATGCTGCAATGTCTGCAGGTAGCTTCATAGCGCTTTGCTTTAACCTATTGCACCACCAGGGACGGCCATTTTGCTCATATTATAATTTGTTGTTGTTGTTGTTGTTATCTGAGTTTGTATTGAATATGAGACTCTCACTCTTACTTGAAAAAATAAATCATTTTGGTGTGTATCAGCTATGCTTCAAAGTCAAGTTTCAATGTAATTAATGTATGTGCCTTCATACTGGAAGATAATTTGAAATGTGCCTGTTTCACCATCTACATTTGTAGATGGTAAACTGGAAAGAACAGGAGATTATTTTCCTTTGTTCTTCTGGGCAAACCGATTTGTATTCAAACATCACAGTGACAATATGAGGGTACAAGAGAGAACATCAGAGGTAACTGAGAAAAGACAAATAGAAACTAACAAAGACCAACAGCTGAATGAAATGTGCCCTAACAGCTTGGTCTGGGCAGCCTGACATTACTTGAGGGTACAGGAATTTTGGATTTCCTGATAAATTAAGTAAGAGGTGACCTGAGGATAATTTAGCATCAGTACCAGAACTTGCCTCTCAAAATATTAAACTTGCAGAGCAAAGAAAGATGAGAAAATCAAATTCTAAGCTTGATGATTTACCAGCAGAAGAGCCCAGCTGCCTAGGAGTTCCATTTGGGAGACTCTAGCATTTTATTGTATATATGTAAATTTAAATAACTTTACTCACAATGATGAAGCTATATCTGCATTTATAGTGAAATATAAATACTCACAATTCATAGGAGTTGCCAGAGGTTTGAAGAGATAAATCTATTGGAGGACCAAATCCCTAAACCTATTGTGAGTTTACAATTAATTCATTTATAGCCTTACTTTCTCCATCTGTTGGATCTATTAGGTTAGTAAATACTTATGACTCCAGAATTGCTGTGTGCTTTATACATTTCAGGTAACTTATATATTATTTGACTATTTAAAATGCTCATATATGAACTAATCATTCTAATCTATTAAAACTACTAATTTATTTCAGAATAATACAAGTTTCTATACTTTATCAATGCATTTTCTTGAAAATAAATTTATCTCATTTAAAAAATTGTGAGATTGTCAAAGTTCTTTATATGCTCAATGAGAATAAATTAAGGAATGCTCAAAAAATGTACATCTATGAAATGGTCCCACAAAGAAAATTAAATTAATATATATGAACTAGATTTGTCCAATATCATTCAAAAATACACTACAACAAAACAATATTTATAATGTATTTTCAATCCAGAAATTGATCAAAACAATAGAAACTTTGATAAACATGTTACCTTTCTGTTTTCTCTTTAGTCATTTGTCCCAAAACCAGCCTTCTGCAATTCATCTTTGGCCCTGGCAGATGAACATTTTGTTTGTGGAAGAGAAAAGTCAGGATCAACTCAGATATGACTGTGTAGAAAGACAAGAGTGCATTTTATCAGTGCACCTGAAAGTACTTTGTGAGACAAAGACATATCTCTCTCTGCCGGCACAAAGCATGACCATTTTCCAACTGCATTTTGGATAATGAGATTATACAGACTTGCCTTCAAGAATATAAAGCTCGGGCCCTCCCTGATGTCACAGCGGGTTAAAGCACAGCACTGAGAAGCTAAAGCCACTTCAACAAGAGTTCGACACCTGCCTGCCCCGGAGGTGACCACATGGCACTGCAGACCTCTGCTGACCCGCCCGCTGCTCCCCTCAGCAGTGTACTTTGTGGGTCTTCCTGTTCTGCTCACCATTCTGTCTTTGGTGAGTCCTCTCACCATCCCTGAGCCTCTGGCCTGTACCCCAGTTCTGTACGCATAAATAAATAAATCTTAAAAAAATAAAAAGCTGACATAACTGATGTATCACTGAATGAAATTTGTCACTAAGAACAATTATCAAGTATCAAACTTAAAAGTTTACCATGTCTGGCCCTCCCTGGTGGCGCAGCGGGTTAAAGCACAGCACTAAGAATCTGAAGCCACTTCCGCATGAGTTCGATTCCCGCCTGCCGCCTGCCCCGGAGGAGACCACATGGCGAGCCAGACCTCTCCTGACCCGCCCGCTGCTTCCCTCAGCAGTGTACTTCATCGATCTGCCTGTTCTGCTCCCCACTCTGTCTCTGGTGAAGCCTCCCACCGCCCCTGAGCCTCTGGCCTGTACCCCAGTTCTGTATGAATAAATAAATAAATAAATAAATAAAATCAACTAAAAGCTTAATTATTAAAAAAAAAAAAAAGTTTACCATGTCTAATTTACCAAATTAATTGAAGAATTCTTTAATAATATTTTGTGGCAGAGAGATGTATAGTCAGAGAAACAGACTTTGATAGCATTCATATGGCTGTTCTAAGATGGTTCATGATAAAATAATTGTTTTTAGTTTACATCCTAACACTAATAAATATCCTAGGAAAGAATGTTCTGTGGGTTAAATTTAATAAGTTATTTAAGCAATTGTTCCCAAGGCTGCTTGTTCAAAATTAAATTCACTGAGGAGTCATACTCTAGAGAACTGAAATAATCCACATGATCCTTCCAGTGCATGTTATAATTTTAGAAGCTTCTCCTGACCTATAATTTTAGGAGAATAAAACCAAAATAATAACAATCTAAAACCACTTATTAATAGCAACACATTAGCTTACAAGAATAAGATTCTTTTATCTTTAATACCAATGTGTATTTGAAATTCTTCAATCTAAGAAGGTACTGGAGTGAAATTTAAAAAAAAACTAAAACTATGTGTATGGTGGGTTTATTTAATGACAAATGGCACAATATTATTGCTAATCAATTTAATAAAAGTTTCCATATAACTCAGATGAGGTAAAATATATGCATACCAAATTCTAACTCACTCAAAAGATTTACTTGATATTCCTACAAAATGATACACAAAAAGGTCATTAGAATTTATAATTTGGAAGAGACCATAGTAAGGTAATGTTAAGATAAAAACATGAAAACTACATCCAGAAGTATTTAACACTCAATATTCAGATGAGTAATGGCAGATCCTTAATTATGAATTTCTTCAAACATGCTCAACAAAAACACAGAATATAACAGACCATGTATAACAAGCACATTGAACATAACTAAGACACAGAAAACTACAACCTTCACATTAACTTTATATAGAGAAATAATCATCAAATATTGGTAGAGTTAGTTTTGTTTCAAGTTTGACAGGAAAGTGAACAAACCTTAAAACACCTGTGGAGAAGGGGAGGGAAGTATCCATCCCAATGATGACAGAGCACTCATAATTCCCTAAAAGGAGGGAATCCATATTGTCTTGACTGCGTCCCATTGGTTCTGACAGGTTGGGTACTTATTTTCATGTCTCAAGGCTTCATCTTTGTGCACCTCATTAACTCAATAGTCACTCAGTAATGTGTTTTTCAGTCTCATATTAGAGATACTTCCTCCACTATTTACTTTTCAAGGCTCATTTACAGTTTGATACCACAGTAAACAAAGATGCTTGGTATGATTTTAATGTTCATGAATGTGTTGTTCCTACATCTATTTTCATATATGCTTTGCCTATTTTCATGATTCTTTAGCTGGTGAATATAGGTGAGTATTGTCTTCTTGATGTATTTTTTCCTTTTACAATTATATGGTGTCCATCGCTACCTCTTATCTTTCCAAGCTAAAAATCTAATTTATCTGACATAAGCTGACCGTTCCAGATTTCTTGCTTGTAAGATTATTTCACAATTCTTTATTCTGAGCCTATGTTTACCTCTGGAACTCAGGTGTATTTCCTGTAGACAGCAGAAAGTTGGATTCTGTTCTCTGATCAAATATGCTACTCTATGCCTTTTGTTTGGTGAGATAAGTCCATTTACATCTAGGGTAATTACTAATATATAAGGGTCTGTTGTACTTACCAAAATAGACCCACATCAAGAAACAAGAAAGGACTTGATTAATAATCTTATCTCCCACCTTGAGGAAACAGAAATATAAAAAATAAATAAATAAACAAAAAGCCAGAAAAGGAAGGAAATAATAAAATTTAGGGAAGAAACAAACAGACTAGAAATCAGAAGGACAAGCCAAAAGATAACTGAAACTAAAAGCTGGTTCTTTGGAAAAATAGACAAATCTCTACCTAGGTTCACTATGAAAAAAGGGGGAAAAACTCAAACTCAAATCTAGGATCAAAAACAGTAGAGAAAAGTTACAAAAGGCATCTAAGAAGTTCAGAGGCTCAATGGGGATTACTCTGAACATTTGTTCATCACTTATAGTGTTATAAGTAACAAATTAAGTAACCCAGAAGAGATGGGAAAATTCCTAGAAACATATAAACATGTAAGACAATCAGGAAAAAAAACACAAAACCTGAACAAAACAATGGTAAGTAAGGAAATTGAAACTAATCATAAGTCTCCCAAAAATAAAAGTACAGAGCCAGATGGTTTTACAAATGAGTTCTACCAAACCTTCAAAGATGAGCTAACACCATTAAATTATTTTTTTAACTTTTTCTAAAAAACAGGAAAGGTAGAATACTTATAGACACATTTTATGAGGCTACCACTAGCCTGATACCAAAAAACACAAAAATGAAAACTACAAACCAATTTCTCTAATAAGCAAAGATGCAAAAATACTCACCAAAATCTCAGCAAACCAAATTTAACCATGCTTTAAAGGAAAATACATACTAACAAAAGGATGGTTCAACAGTGAAAAATCAAGAAATATAATCTACCACATAATAAAATTTGAAAACAATATGAGCATATCAATAGATGCCAACAGAGTATTTCATAAGAATTAACATCCACTCATGTTAAAACCTCTCAAAATATCAGGATACATGGAACATACTTCAACATGAAAAAGATACACTCTTACAGTGTTGATGGGAATGTACACTGATCCAGGCCCTATGGAGAATGGCACAGAACATTCTCAAAAGATTAAAAGTGGACCTACCATAAGACCAGCAATTTAACTCCTAAGTATCTCCTTAGAAAATACAAAAGCATTATTTTAAAGGGACATATATATTCCCATGTTAATATTAGCACTAATTACAGCAGTTAAACTATGAAAAAGACCTAAGCCTCCAAATAAAGATGAATGCATCAGGAAAGTTTGATATGTATACATGATAGAACACTATTCAGCTGTTAAAAAGATAAACTCTTGCCATTTGCTGCAGCATGAATTGAGCTGGAGCAGATTATGCTAAGCAAAGCAATTCAGAAGAAAAAAGACAAATAATAGATGTCACTTGTGTGTGGAATATAGAGAAACCAAATAAAGGGCCAGATGAGCTCAAACTAGGAAGTCTACAAAGCTGAACTACACAGAACTGAGGAGGCTACCAGAGGAGGAGGAGGAGTGGGAATATGGAGCAAGAAGTTGAGGGAACACAAGGGCAGAGGCCTATGGGTATTTTGGTAATGGGACTGTGTTAACAACACCTACATGGAGGTCCTAAGTGCTAAACATAAACGAATTGTAAAGCAATGTTACTACAATTTAAAAAAAAATGATTACATCCCAAAATAAATCATTCAGAATCTACAGTATACAGAGAACTTTAGGAACTAGGTATACAATGTTGAATAATATAGACAGGGGTTGTATTGATGTGGAACTTGCTATCCAGTGGAGGTATAATAAGCAAATTGATAAATAAATAAAACATATAATCATATAGTAATAAGTATCAAAGAGAAGAAACTTTTGGAAACTTGGTGTCATTTTTCAACACTGTAAGCCTAAGTATCTTATCTCTAAATGGAAGAAAATATCTCACTAAGACATGTTGAATAACAGAAATATGTGAAAATAATCCAATTTGAAAAGGGAGAATTACAGATAGAAAGAATGTAAGAGCAGTGTCTTCAGGATATGACCATTCTCGTAGGCTACTCAGCTAAACACATTCTATGTGTTCAATAAGCAAAGAGAATAAGTGAGAATTTACATGAAATGTCTTAAGTTCTTCCTTCTTGGATGTGTCTACTGAAAAATGAAGATAACTTCCCAGGTGGAAGTTCCCCCAAACCTGAATCTTGGAGGGAGGTTTGTTTGTACGTAGTTTATTTTGGAAAACAGAATGAAGAATGTGAATAGGGACAGGGGAGAAAATACATAATGTACTAAGCTGGTTACTATTTATCAAGTGACTCCTATCTACCAATGATCTAGGATTTCGTTAAAGTTTCTGAATTACTCCTTTCCAGATGTGCATATGCACCAGAATGATGAATCTGGGTCTTCTACATACCTAGAGCAGCAAGTATCAGGAGAGAAGGCAAGAGACACACACGTGGGAGAAGGTGGGGGTGGGACTGAGCCATTGGAAGGCTATAGTTGGTAGCAGCTTCTTGTTGTGT